AAATTTCATCAAAATCGGATCAATTTTTGCTCAAGTTATCGCGGTAACGGTGGACTTATCTAAAGCATTTGACTGCGTATCGCATGAATTGCTTCTGAGGAAACTCTCCTTGTACGGGTCTGGGGGAGCTGTTCAACGGATGTTTACGTCTTACTTCAGTGGCCGCCAGCAGGTGGTATCAATTCATGGTGCAAAATCTGGGGTGGCTGTGATTACGAGCGGAGTTCCGCAAGGCTCAACCCTTGGACCTAGCCTCTTTATCATCTTAATCAATGACTTCAACCTAGAGAGCTATGATGCCCTATTATATGCAGACGACACTACCATTATTAATCGTGGTAGTAACATGGCCAATTTAACAACGGGGTCGAATCTCTGCCTAGGGGAGGCTAAGGAGTGGTTTAGGCTAAACGGACTGCATTTGAATGAGGGGAAAACTGAGCAGCTGCGCTGCAGCTTGTGGACCCGCCCTGATGCCAGGTTGGATGGGCCTAGTGTGAGTGCAGTCAAACTACACCACATTTGAACACCTTCACCACATTTGGGTTTAGGACACCCAAAATTTTGAGGACTCATCGGATCTTCATTTCTCATATTATTAGAAACTTACGGGTGAAATTTCATGAATGTGCAAATTTTGTTGTTTATATGTAGGTAGTGTTTTTGTATTATTTTACCTGTACTATAACTGGATAGAATTGGAATTGACAGCAACTGTTATGAACATATGACGCTAATTGTCACCATAGCAACCTGTTATGTTTATTATTTAATGATGTTTACTTTCTATTCTGATTTAATACAACACAGTTTACTTTTATTTCAACACTCTGTCTTTTAACTATTCAAATACTCCACTCGAGTCATCTCAGTTGGCGACGATTTGGTAAAAAACTATTATCAATTCTTGTTTTATTCTATTATTTTCAAGATATTTTATTTTGTTAAACATTAACTTAAAATGAATTAAGAACAATTTGAAAGACTCATGAATGTTTTGACTACAGCTTCTAGGTAATAAAACTTCAACTCTTCAGATCAATCCTTTTGAACAATTTGATCCAAATAATGATAAATTTAAATCATATTTAGAACGTTTTGAAAATTATTGCAATTTGAAGAACATGAATGAAGATAAGATGAAAGCTCAACTCCTGTGCTCATCTATTCGGTAAGGAACATTACAATAATCTGACAACTCCGTTAGGCCCAGACAATCCTGTAAAAGACTTAAATTTTTCAAATTCGAACATTTCACAGTGATGTTGTCTTGTCACCTAGTATCTCATATTGCACAACACTATTTCCTCAGTTTTTCACAACAGTTACATCAATCTATCTCTGACTTTGTCACAGTCCTGAAAGGTAACCTGAATTATTGTAATTTTTACACTTCTTGCAATGGATGTGAAAGTAAAATTTCAATTGCTGATGAATTTCTCCGCCCTCAATTTATTAGAGGACTAAAAGACAATTGGATACGAGAACAACTTCTACAAGACACTAATCTCAACAGTTTTGACACACTCCTCAAGAGAGCAATTGCCCTAGAAGCTTCCTGCTATGAATAAAATAAAATTTGTAATCCTGTCACACAATCCTCAAGTGAAAATGCCGATACACACAAAATTGATAGGCATTCAAGGTCTAAGACAAAGGAATATCAAAGTTTCAAGCAATTTAAGACTCCCAAATATGATGACCCCGGTTCCAATAGATCTCAATCACAACATTTTCGTAACAAATGCTTAAGAAGACGCATTGACTACAAAGCTTTGGGTATTGATTTTTTTGTTTTGGTATTGAGACTTTGTTTCAAATGTGTTACCATTGATGAGAAACTTACCTGGAACCAGCATATTGATGAAATTTGCAAAAAATTATCTCGAGTTAATTGTCTTTTAAGAAAACTAAAATCCCAGGTGACGTCTGACTATCTTAAACTAGCCTACATTGGTTTGATTCATTGCCATTTAAGCTATGGCTTGGTCCTATAGGGCCATGCTCCGAACACTGCTAGAGCTCTGATTATGGAGAAGACGAGAAGACTGCTGTTGGAATTTCATCTTCGAGTGGTAGACGAGACCATTCCAGACCCCTTTTTGAACAGCTCGGTATTCTCACGATACATAGCCAATTCATACTAGACTGCCTCCTTCTCTTGAAAACTGACCCTAGGCTCCCTCATATCATATTACACGAGACCAACTCCACAATTACAACCTGCGCTCTGCAAGGAATGTGGATGTCCCGAGGTGTAGGCTATCAAAGACCAAGGACTGCTTTCCAGTGTTAGCACACAAGCTCTACAATAGACTGCCCGACTGTCCCTTCACATTAAAGAACTCCTTCTTGAACCTTTTAAAGTCAAACTAAAACAATGGCTGAGTAGGAAGTGTTTTTATTCCATTGAGGAATACGGTACTTTACTACTGCAATGGACTTTTGAGTATGAATCCGGCCTGTTATAATATATGTGTATATATATATATACTACCGGTACTAAGTTACATGAGTAATCTAATCTAGCAAGTTATCATGTTATAAGGTTGGACAAACTGGTTACATATTTGACTTGTATTTTTTGTACTTGACAATTTCCGTTTTCTCGTTCTCATGTAATTTGAAGCAATGTGACTGTGTATGATGTAACTTTAACTTTGAGTTTTTATCTGAATAAATCTTATATTAAACATCTTTGTAGTTTTCACTACCCCACGTGCCCAACACGGCCGCCATGGAGTAAATATTGTACATATTAATTGTATATATTAGTTTATTTAATTTTTAAAGGTAAATTTTATCTGACAAGATCAATCCAGACATCTCGTCAACGATCCGCCAGTTGGTAATGGTAATGGTATGGGAAATTCGCTAAAATTAAAGTTAACACAGCTGGTTCAAAGCTGGTGTTGGTGCTTGGTTCAAATTAGCTTTTGTTATAAGTGCAAACAGAATTATTAGTGATGTAACCTGTTGGTAAAACTTAGAACTTGTTAATGCTATTGAATATCATAGAAATAACTTCTTGATCAACATTGTGTGTTATTAAATTAACGGAAAGTAAATAAAATAAACGTCTTATAACACTTAGGCCTAAAACATATATTTACGCTTGTACTGTTACTCGCAAGACGGTAAATATCCAAAAAAGATGGTAAGCGGTGATCGATTTCGATTGGACACTCCAATCATCATCAGACCCAATAGGCGAATGTCATTCTTCTATGATATGCAATAACATTTTATAACATGCAATAACATTCTTTGCAATCATCACAAAGTTAAGTACATTTAACCACAAATGGGTTAAGTACATTTAACTTAGTGTTTGCATGTGACACATCATTGCGCAGGGTTTTATTTTGATCTGACAACTCTGCATTTTTGATTTGCTCTAATTTTAAATTACTTAAAGCTAAACTATAGGTAAACCGTTTAGAAAACGACCTGCGCGAAATTTTTAGCGCATGTAGGGGAGGTAACGTTGAGGGAGGGTATGTTCCCCCTCTCCGCCAACGTCCGTTTTCACACTGCAGGATCTATTTTTTTCAAATTTTAACATTAGGCTTATGGGATAAAAGTAGCCATATGACAGTTTTTTGTTTACAAGAAAAATGTAAACAAGGGAATCATAAGGTATTTCCAAACTTTCTAGACTTTTCTTTTAAACGTTTTTAAACCATTCCTATGATTTAAATAAACAAGAAAATGCCGTTAAAACACTTTTTTAAGGCGCGGAACTCACTGAAAATCGAGAAAATATACGGAACTACTTTCTCAATGCGCAGAGCATAAACAAGGAGCGGAGGGATACGGACCAGTGACTACTTTCTTGGGAACCTATTTGTGTTGCCAGCTGATCAGAAACAGCAAATGTTAGAAATCAGGACTTAATAAGCGATATATCGAACCGCATCGAAATCGATATTTAATCCGATAATACATCACAGGTTATATTATGTTGAATTACATCGACGGTGCAGTCAGCTATATTACACTTATTAATAAAACGCAGATTGAACACTGATCTAATTTAGGTATGTGGGGAAGGTAGGTCGGGGTTTATGAGTATTCATGACTACATTAAAAGTTTTGAAGTAAAGTTATAGATTAGGGAGGTAAAGTGTAGGTTATAAGTAGGTGATCGAGTTGTTTATTTGTGTTGCACCATATAACTGGCTTTCACCTATCTGAAAGCAACCCTAGTTTACATTTTGATCAGCTGTATAATTTAATTGCTGTTAATATTTAAGCTGCAATTCAAAGAAATGCGTCCTACAAAAAACTAAATCTTTAGAAATTAATCACTGAAAGAACCCATGAAACATAAAAGTCATAGAACGCCACCGAGTAAAAGAAATAAAGATAATATTTTTTTAAGAATTTACTATCGTTATTAGCCTGTATAATGAAGAACACCTAGGCCTACAAGATTCACATTCCTACCAAAGATGAACGAGGATGTTAGCCGAAGTGCTACAATTTTTACTAGGAAAGATGGAAATGTGATCATTGCAGAGGAAAGCCCTATATGGGAAATTCGCAACAATAACTATATAACTGTATTCACAGTTCCATTTAAGTAATGCCATTGACTAATATACCAACAGGTCAATGGTAATGTATAGTCAATGGTAATGCTCAATTGTGTTTACGCTAGTGACATCATTAGTTATGGTACATACCGTTTCTGTTTTAATAATCGTGATTTAACATCTGTTGACAAGCATTGTTGTGACGAGTCAGTACGACCCTGCGCTGAATCCTCCACGCGGACTCTCTTTTTATGTCTCGAGATTTCCCCCTTCATTTTGTTGAACGATTTTTGAGTTGCAACAACGTTTATAATTGTTAATATTTAGTGATAGTTAGTGATAGTTTAGTAGGTAGGGATAGTTTTGTTCAGTTATTTTATAGTTACGGTAGCTATTTAATAGTAAATCGTTTTTTGAAATTGTGGTAGATTGGTATATGACCTGTGTTTGTTGACAAACGTAATGGCGACATCAAAATCTTCTTCTGTATCTGGTCGACCTCTTGGAGAGCAGGCAAGAGAAATTGTGTATAAAGTTGCAGAACACTTGAAAGGAATGAAGAAAGAACATGATTTGACATTTAATTTGGCCGAGGAAACATCAACAGCTACAGGTATTGGGCAAACCCTCGTAAAACAAATTATTCGTGAGGGAAAAAGAGCGATTGAAATCCGAGGACAGTTGACCTTTTCTACACCTACAGGCAAAAAGACTGAAAGAAAAAAAAGAATTGAAGTTGATGATTTTACTAAAGCCGCTATTAGAAGGAAAATACAGGAAATGTACATCTTAAAAAAAGAATTGCCTACTGTGAAGACACTCATTTCAGCTCTTGAGGAAGCAGACATTTTAACATGTGGAAGGACGTACTTAATATCTGTGTTAAAACAATTGGGCTTTAAATGGGTTAGATGCCAGTCTAGAAGAAAACTATTGGTAGAAATCCCTTCAACCGTTGATTGGCGAATTCGATATTTGAAAAAAATTAAGAAATGTAGATCAGAAGGCTTTCCAATTGTTTACATCGACGAGACTTACGTTAATGCGAATCATACAGTAAGTAAATGTTGGCAAAGTCCTGAGGAACCCGGCGTAACCAAGGCTGTTGGGAAAGGCGAACGGCTGATAATTGCACACGGTGGCGGTGAAAATGGATTTGTAAGGGACAGTTTGGCAATTTTCAAAGCACATAAAAAAACAGGCGATTATCATGAGTCCATGAACTATGAAAATTTCAATAAATGGCTTGAAAAACAACTGTTGCCGAATCTTGAAGAACCAAGCGTTATAGTGATGGACAATGCAAAATACCATTGCGTAGAGGAAGACAAAAAACCAACAAGTGGTTCTTTGAAGAAGAACATTCAAGACTGGCTTCATAAACACAACATTGACTATGACGAAAATTTTACCAAAGTAGAACTTTTGATGTTGGTGCAAAACGTCCAGAGGGAGCCGGTGTACAAAATAGACCAGCTTATTAACAATTTTGGACATCAAGTGCTGCGACTGCCACCATATCACCCCGACCTCAACCCCATTGAGTTGGTATGGGGAGCTATAAAAGGACAGGTAGGCTTAATTTATGTTTTATTATTGTCATATATTTTATAAGTGTATTAAAATTGTTTTCATAACTCCAATCCGGTTGTCGAGGAAGAGGCAATATGAAAATAGGTGGAGTGCGTTTAATATATTTTTTTTAAAGTACTTTTTAACACAACAGTATTAAGCCAACTACACATAACCTTTTACGGGAATTCCTATATTAATATAGCATTATAACACATAATTGGTTTGAATTATAATAACAAGTTATAGTATTTAGTATAATTAATAATTATAGTACGTGTAGGCTTAATATATATAATTGTAACAGTATAAAAACCAACGTAAAATGTAAAGAAATTACGTGTTCGTATGGGATTTAAAAAGTATTTATTTATACAGGTTGCTAAAGATGTAGCTGCAAAGACATTGGACCAAAAAATGAGACTTTGTGACAGTCTGTTTACGTCATACACTGCAGAAGAATGGAAGAAATGTTGTGAACATGTCAAAAAGGTCGAACAAGATTACTGGGAAAAAGACCATATAATAGACAATGAAATCGACAGACTGATAATTTCAGTAAACCAAAATGAATCTGAGGATGACAGTGATATCAGTGATTTCATTACCGATTCGGAATAGAGATAATATTTAGATCGTCGACATTTGGTTTCCACTACTAATTAAGGTATGTCGTTTATTTTATTCTCAAACTGAAAATTATACAAATTAATTTGTATCAATATCATTCAATATGATGCATACTGTACATATGGTTCACATTTATCAAAGCTTAAGTTCTTCCAATAACTGATCAACAAATATATCTATAAAGGTAGTCCGTGAGAATCATTAGTCTATTCTATTATATTAGTGTTTTTAAGCTATTTATATTTATGTGTGTTGTGTTACCTAACGATGGACTTAGTCCCAAAGAATTATTGTAGTTCAAAAGGAAATAATTATTGTATTATTGTATTCAACGAGAGCGAGGTGCCGGTCCGGTAGCAGTACGCGAGTACACTGCACTCTGCAGGGTTGTGTTTGTGTTGCGTTGTGTTGTATCACTGCGCGGTGTTCGGGAAGGTTGGGGGTTGGCGGCAGCGGAGTGGGGGAAGAGCCATAGTCTGTCTCACTCCCACAGCTCGGTATCTCTCTCTCGCACCAATGCTACGAGGAGGACGCTTTCTAAACGGTTTACCTATAGTAGCTGCTTCAGCATCCCTAAATAGTCTTTTACAATCATAAAGCCTAGTTTCTAAGTCACATATCTTACTTTCAAGACTGGTTACCTCTTCAGTCACTTCATCTTGCAATTTAAATGAATTGTTCATTTCTTTTGCTCGCAATTCCTTTTCAACCTCAAGCTTTGATACTAGAGTTTTTATGTCACTGTATGAAGCCTCTAAATCATTGTTTTGCGTGATTGATAACTTATTAAGGTTATCAATCTTTTGCATGAGCAACTCAATAGTGCCAACTAAGTCTTTGAAATCTAGATCAGGATGACTTGAGATCAAATTATTTAATTTCGTACTTAGTTGAAGGACTAATCCCTCCAAACCATCCTCAATAGGTAGAGATATAAACTGACTTCTAGTCATTACCATTATAACTAGTATAAATTAAAATAACAAACAACACTGTCATAAAATTATAATTAAAATGGAAGTATATTTATAACAATTAAAGTAGCTATTTTTACAACAATTAGTTGGTCATGAACAGTAAGTTATGCTGCAGAGAGGGAAAATAAATGATTAGTAATTATAAAAAACAAGTCCAAAGATATGAGTCAATATTGTTCAGCAGACGAGATCACGGGAACACAGTCATTACAGCAGCGCCTGGAGTATAGTAAAGCATTGCATGGCTGTAGTGCGGTAAGTATCGTCACCCTGGCGGGCGTAGACAAATCCCCGTCGATGACAGAAACGGTGACACGATGCTCTGCGCCAGCAGAATGAGTGAAGCAAGTTTTCCAGTTGTTAATAATCCCTTTTCGGGTAAAGTTAGTTACGGCCGGAAATGAGTGGCAGCCTGCAGGTTTGCCCAGCTGACGATGACGTCAAAGCTCCGTTGCAGGTCTTGTCGTCAAAATTGAACCATGTGATGGTGTGTCAGTTGAGGTTAGAACAGCACATATACTACTTACAAGACACTTGCGACGGGACTAACTCGTAACTATAAGGCGTCAAATCATAAAACAAATGTTCCTTACAATATGTGTATTGTCCAAACACTTTGCAATTACACAAAATAACTAGTTAAACTTAACATATAAGATCGTCAAATCTCCACTGTTTACTCTAGCAGTCAGTGCTGCCAACCATAGAAGGTAGGTATTTTAAGCCAAGTATGAATGGAGATGAGTCTTCCTCCAGGGCCGCCCCGCCACTTCCATGAAGTTGTCTTGCCACTTTCTAAACATGCTCTGTGGTTAAGTTACATAATCTATATGTATAAAGCTTTCTCCTTTACAACTAATTACAGTATAATCATTACAACAAACTATTGATTTAAATTACTAATAACTAATTGAAAAAGTCCCCAATCTTGTAGCAGCATTTATCTGTAAATCGTTTAAAATCTGCCAATCCCTTCATGGTGCTACGCAGGCTATTATACAATTTTATACCAGGTCGAGTAATAGTGAGAATGTTAATTTGTTAATAATTGTATAATTGTTAATAATTGTTAATTTGGCCCAATAAAATGATTTGATTTGTTCAATGGTGTTTAGTGGAAAGAACCACTTTTAAATAGGAGAATACTTGAAATAAAGTCTAGAGATTTCCACTAAATATCATTGTTTTAATTTAACATATTTTTAAAATTAAATTACAATTTATTGTTTAGTGCAAATAAAAATGGACCACTTTTGTTGGAAAAGCCTAAAAGAATCTCTTTGTTTATTTTTCTCTTTTTAGCAACCAAAATTCAAAAAACTAATTAAAACATCTGTCAGCTAATAGATCTGTCAGCTCACTACAGGAGCCCCCTGCAAAGACTGGAAGTCCATGGAGTTTTTGGAGGGTTCCGAAGTCACAAAAAAAATAATACAAAAAATAAAAATAATAATAACAGCAAGAACAAAAGCAATTTCCATTAAACTGAAATTGGAATCTTGAATCTCACTATTCTTCCAGACTTTGTCGTATACTACTTTTGAAAATCCACATCTTTTGAAGTTTGAGATACAGTTGAGGGCTTAACTTCATTATTCTGAAGGACATAGGCCGGTTTAACTCTGTCAAGACCAACTTTAACATTAAACCATTCACTTTTGTTGTGATAGTTTTACTGTCTTTCTTGATCACTGGATGAGGTCCGGTGTATGGATGTTGTAAAGATTTTCTCATAACATCCACTCTCAGAAAAAGGTGCGAACATGTGTCCAAATCACGAAAAATGAAGCTTCGGTTAATGCCGTGTCTCTTGATATTTGTTGGTTTTATTGATGAAATCTTGAGTCGTAATCGAGACACAAAATTAGTCGGATCCTCTAAGGGTGCCAGCTGAGTTATTGGCATAAAATACTCGCTAGGGAGGCGTATAACCTCTCCAAAAACCATTTCAGCAGACGAGGTGTTCAGATCCACACGGAAAGCATTTCTTATTCCAGCACTGTGGGTAAGGATTCGACCCACACGAGGTGGAGTGGCACACGATGGCCGCCTTGGGTTGTCTGTGGAAACGTTCCACCATGCCATTTACGCACGGGTGGTAACTTGTTGTCCTTAATCTTGAAAATCCACACAATTTTCCCAACTCAGCAAAGAGTGCAGATTCAAATTGTTTACCCTGGTCTGTTGTTATTCACAAGGGAACACCATACCTTGATATCCAAAAATTGAAAAGAGCTGACAAGACTTCTTCGGCAGAGATACCTTGCAAGGGGTGTGCTTCCGGCCATCTGGTGAACCTATCTACTACTGTAAGACAGTAACGAAGATTTCCAACTTGGGGTAATAGGCCGATGATATCCACATGAATATGTTCAAATCTACAATTTGGCAAAGGGAAATTGTTGATAGGTGTTTGAACATGACGAGTAATTTTTGAACGTTGACACTCTCGACAGGACAAGGTCCACTCTGTACAATCACGATTTATTGAAGGCCAAACATATCTTGAAGTTAACATTTTATTCATAGATTTTATCCCAGGGTGACTTAAGTTATGGATCGAATTAAACGCTTCTCTGCGTACAAATTTGGGGATATACGATCGTTCTCTACCGTTCTTTGTATCGCAATAGACGAAAACATCAGAGCCAGGAACTGGAACTGGAACTGGTTGAAGACAAAGTGAAGTACTGTTTTCGAGAATAGACTTAAGTTCCTCATCATTAGATTGAGAATCTGCCAAGAGATGCAGATCAATTTGACTAGTCTTGTTGACAGAAATAGATTCTATCCTAGAAAAACTGTCTGCTACTATGTTTGAAGCACCAGAAACATGTTGAATGTCAGTCGTGAACTGTGATATAAATGAAAGATGGTTAGTTTGAACAGGAGGTAGTTTGTCCTTCTTTTGTTGAAAAACTAAAGTGATGGGCTTGTGATCAGTATAGACAGTACGGGGTTGGCTTCTAATATATGTCTAAAATGTTAACAGACTAATAGATGGCAAACAATTCCCTATAATAAGCGGGCCAACTGGCTTGCTTAGGTGTTAGTTTTTGGGAAAAGAAGGACAGAGGTTCCCATATTCCATCTTGATTCAATTGTTGTAGTACTGATCCTACTGCAGTATTCGATGCATCACAAAAAGTGCTAATTTAGCATTAGCGTTGGGGTGACAAAGCAATGTAGCTTCAACTAAATGATCCTTACATTTACTGAATTTTTCAGTTAATACATCGGTCCAAGGGACTTTCTGATTCCCTTTTAATGACGAAAGGACAGTGTGGAGAGGGGCTTGAAATTCTGCAGCGTGAGGAATAAACCTGCGGTAAAAGTTCAACATTCCCAAAAATCGCCTAAGACCTTTGGCAGTTTGTGGCAAAGGATAATTCTGAAGGGCGTCAATGCGATCAGGCACAGGCCTGGTTCTGTCAGCGGTGACATGATATCCCAAAAAAACTACCAAGTCAGTGTTAAATACAGATTTCTTCACATTTATATGGACGCCATATTTAACTAACCTCTTGAACAGAATACGGAGGTGTTCTTCGTGCTCAAAAGGATCTTTTGAGAAAACAAGGATATCGTCAATGTAGAGGGAAACAAAAACTGAGTCCCTCTACAGCTTCATCAATAAACCTTTGAAAAGTTTGGCCAGCATTCCTCAACCCGAAAGACATGAACGGGAACTCAAAGAGACCGAATGGGGTCGTTATTGCGGTCTTGGGCACGTCATCTTTATTAACCGGGATTTGCGTATATGCCTTTACAAGATCTATCACAGTGAAAACTTTACTACCGTGTAAACAATTTGAGAAATCATGGATATGTCGAACAGGGTAAGAATCTGGAATAGCACGGGCATTCAATCAGCGGTTACCATAAGTTCCGGCGCACACCGCTGTAGTTTACGTAGCGCGTACGCCGTAAATACATGGCGCTCCAAGCGGTGTGTGCCAGAAGCTATGGTATCCGCAGCACAGCTGACGGTCTATATTTAATTCTTTTTGTCTA